GGTCTGATCTCAGTGATGTCTGTTTGTGTGTGAGTAAAAGACATGCGGGGACAGAGGGGCCGACACTGACAGACAAACAGACGCATACAGAGAGAGAGAGAGAGAGAGAGAGAGAGAGAGAGAGAGAGAGAGAGAGAGAGAGAGAGAGAGAGAGAGAGCAGAACATTTATCTGCTGGAGCTACGGAGTTGGTTGTTGATGAACGTGATCGGAAAAGCTCATGGGAATTATAGATTAGGGGCAAGCAGCTGGTGAGTTTTGCGGAGGAACTTGGGCGTAGGGGCTGAACCGGGTGGGTCATAATGTAATTTTGTAATATATCCGTGATTCTGTAACGAAGAGGGGTGTAAAAAATAGATGTATTTATTCGTCTAGAGGTAGCGTTGATGTTAGTTCAGTCAATCACAGGGCTTTACGTGCCATGCGAGCCCTGAGGAGGTTGTGGGCGCACTTGATTAATTAAGGTCTATTAAAGGGTTGGAATACCTTTGCACTTTTTTTTTTTTTTTTTTTTTTTCCCTCTCCATTTTCCCTCTATTTTCCTGACTTTTCCCTATTTCCGCTCGTGTGTTTCTTGGTTTGGTGGCTTCTCTCCTTTCCCCTTGTTCCTGACCTCTATTGAACAGTCACGTGGCTGTTTCGAGTGAGACAATCAATCCTCAATCCTCTCCTTTACAGCGCTCTTTTTCACCCTTTCTACCCGGGCCCATCTTTTTTGGTTGTCCCCTTTCCTCCGCTGGCTTTTACTTCCTCTTTTTTTTTTTTTTTTGTGAAGCAGGGCAATCAAGTCATGTGATTGTCATCTGTGGAGAACCTCCTCCTCTCCCACTCTGGCCCGGTTTGTGTAGTTCTGCGCATGTGCGAGGAAGATTCTTCGCATGTGCGAGGAAGATTCTTCGCATGTGCGAGGAAGATTCTGCGCATGTGCGAGGAAGGTTCTGCGCATGTGCGCATGTGCGAGGAAGGTTCTGCGCATGTGCGCATGTGCGAGGAAGGTTCTGCGCATGTGCGCGTGTGGGAGGACGGTTCTGCGCATGTGCGCATGTGCGAGGAAGGTTCTGCGCATGTGCGACGAAGGTTCTCTGCATGTGCGAGGAAGGTTCCGCGGATGTGCGAGGAAGGTTATGCGGATGTGCGAGGACGGTTCTGCGCATGTGCGACGAAGGTTCAGCGCATGTGCGAAGACAGTTCACGGATAGATAGTGCGGCTGCTGTACCCGTCGCTGCATGTGCGAAGTAGGGCGAAATAAAATGGTCGCCTGATTATAATCAGTGCAGTGATGCATTTTTTGTCACTTCACTAGTTGCGTAAGATCGGCGCGGCAATGGGGTTCGGCACGCTGAGGAAAACGGATTGCCACGTGTCTTTCTCCTGTTTCTTCTTGTTTCTTCTTGTCTTTCCTGACTTATTCTATACTGCTGGGCGTCTTGACCCCCCGGCCACTGGACAAGCTACCTTCTTCCCCCGAATACAATGTACGGTCATTATAGCTGCATTTGAGGCGTCTTTCAGTCTAGATACAGCTATAATGACCGTACGTTGTATTTGGGGGAAGAAGCTAGGGTACCTGTGGAATGATGGGATGTGTCAGACGCCGTTAGGTACCGTTTTCTTTTCCGTAGCCGTGATTACGATTACACTTCGTGTCCGCATTCTTGGTTTTGGGGAGCGTCAATAAGATATACGTTCGCTCGTTTCTCTTTTTTTTTTGTGTCCGTATGTTGTGTTCGTTGTGGTACAGACTGCCTTCTGGTTGAGCGCAATATATTTTCAAGCTTGTGCAGGATTACTCAGTTTTGGGTCTGTACTTCGTTTTCGGGTCGTGTATTCCTGTTGCGCGCAATGTAGAGTACAAATTGTGTAGGTATTCAGGTTCATGATGCCAGCCATAATTACAGTATGTATATGAGTAGCTCTCCGTGTGAGGGAGGTTTTTGTCTTGTTTAACACATGGTCGCAAGTCTTTGGACGCAACGACTTGCTTCGACCTGCATGCTGTTGACCCTTTATCGTTTCGCCGGGGCGAGGGTGTTTGATGAAGTTCCCAGCAATATCAACTTAAGCAACTTTGGCTTAAACACCTCCGTTTTTTCCAGTGCATGCGTGCGTGTGTGTGTGCGTGCGGGTGAGACAAGAGAGAGAGAGAGAGAGAGAGAGAGAGAGAGAGAGAGAGAGAGAGAGAGAGAGAGAGATTATTCATGTTGTGTTTGCATTATTTCTGCTTGTGGGTTGCAGGGGAGAAAG